CATAGGAATATAGAGCAAGCAGAGAATAAGATATATCAAAACATGCAACATTTACGCGTAGATGATGTTCGATATTCGATATTATCATCTCATCAACAATACCCTGTAACGAAAAAAATGTTCTTAGGTGTTTTTATTTTATTTAAATTTAAAAATTACGTTTATCGATGTTCTAATTACATGTGTTTTCATAAAAAGAAAATAAAAAGACAAAATTCTTCCATCTGATGGGTTCAAACAGCGAAATTTTTTCTTTTGAAATCTACTTCTTCGGGCATGTTTACAGCTAAGATTTATTAATTAGAGTGACGTCCAAAGCTGGTAAATTAAAGGATTAAGTGGAAATTAAATAATTAAAGTGCATGAGGAATACCGTCACTGCCAGCCTACCGGAAATGCGTAGGCGTTATTCATGCGAAATTTATATCTTCATAAAAATGAATTCGTATTCCTAGTTCGTTTGGCCAATAATCAAGGAAGACATGAGAAGAATTCTTCCGAAATCTCCCTCCTTTTTTAAAATTAAGATGAAAAAATTCCAAAATATATCCCTGAATCTGCTTTTCAAGAAATAAAGAAGTTATACACAATGTACTTAAAATATACTTATAAAATCTGAGGTGAGGATACAAATATTGGGCTAACGTAACAATAGCAATATTCAATGCATGGAGAAAATGTAGACTTATAAATGCATAAGATGGATGCTGTTGGAAAATATTATCCAGCAGAAACAGTGAACCAAATTTCCTTACAACATATCTAGTAATTGATTGAATACAATTGATTCTAAACTTGATTCCCGATCAATATTGTTTTCAGAATGCACCATGACTTCACTCATCTCGAAGTTCCTTCAACCATCTTGATTTCTGTAAATTATTTTCACATACGATTAAAAGAGAGCCGTTTGCTTTTACCAAAGCCATTTTCTTGCCCTATCAAACAAAAGATTGTAGGTCATTATTTTTTTTAGTAAGCTCAAACAAATTTCCCTTTAAAAATTATCGCTTACCATTGGGACATTTTTAAATAATTCGTTTAGACATTGGAATGTTGAAAATATAACTTTGGAAAAAAAATTGTTTCAAATTAGAAACAACTTCGGCTCAAATATAGAGCCTGTGAGGGCATAAATGATTAGAAGAAGTTACAGCCTCATTTCTCTTATTCATTTTTCGAATAAATATATATTCTACACATCGCACGTGTCCGCAACGCAGGTGAAATATTGAAATCAGTTATATCTTTTGACTGTTGCTTTTATCTGACGTTTTTTTCTGCCCCTTAAAAATCTGGAGCAGGCATGGAAGAATTTTAGTTCAGACAGATATACAATATTTTTTGGTTATATTTATCATTTATAGAATAAATATAAATAAACTAAGCCAGCCACATGGATTTCTACTTCGGCGTACCAATAAATCGATACGTCAAATTTTGGCACGGCGAAAGTCTTAATCCAATTTTCTTCCTCGTCAGACAGACACAACATTCGTGCTGGAGGTGTACAAAAATATAATGTTTACGTCATCTTTAGTCTTTCTAGCCGTTCTCTCGATGATTTCTTTTCATTCTTCCAATATTTCTATATTTTATTTCTATATGAACACAACTTAAAATAGTAAAACTTTTGCATATGTTCAAATAATTAACGGACATGTTCAGATTACAATGAAACATTTTCTCTACATAAATTCACACTGTAACCTTACTTATAAAGATAGGCTGTCTAGTCTATTAATTTATTTTAGCTCTAAAAGCAAAAGATCCGCAGACAGTTATTTATCCAATGTCCGTGTAATATTTATTTTGGAACGTACAAATATGAATAGGATAGACTCTTTTAAAGGTATTATCTGCATAAAAATAAGGGATTCTTTGAATTTTTCTCTTCGAATTTCGATGACAATGGAAAGGGTTATATTATTTCAGATTTTTTTCCCTTAGCAGTAATTTTTAAACCATTGTGCACATATATTTTGTCCTCAGTTGGGTTTGAAGTTCGTGGATCGTTAACAGATTCGTTCTTTTTGTTATTTCTTCTTTATTGCAATATTTTATTTATTCACATCTTGGCGATTAGCAATTTTCTTTTTCTTTTGCTCGACCACATTTATTATCATATTTTTAGGACATATTTAGATATACTTTAAAAAGTCCGTTTTTAAAACATTATTTCAATTGTAAATATTGACATATTCCTGGGTAATTGTACAATTACTTGAATTATTTTCCACGCTAGAACCTTTATACAATGAAAAGTTGTTACGTTCCTGAAACTCTATCGCTATTACTACAACAGATTGTCTGATGTGATATATTCATTAAACAACCACTTCCGACCTTCACATCAAGGAACCGCCATGATCATGAGGATAAACCACCCACATTCGCTTTGTGTTTCTTTGATAAAGTGCAAGTTCTACTCAGAAAGCTTTGTCTCCAGAACTGTTACATTGTGAAAGAAGCACCCAAGAATATGTTTCTCTGAAAACATCAATCTTGGTATTTTTTTAATCTAGGTCAACCGATATTTTCATAATATGAATTTCTTAATTTCCTCACCCTTACAACAATATCACTATGGAACGCTCTACAGTGAACGACCCTTGGGCTTGGTATAGATGATCACTTAACGTCGAAAAAGAGAATTAATAAATTTACACCACACACGCATAAGAACAACTGAGTGTAGTTTTAAACCGTATCAGGATTACGAGCAGAAGACGATAAGTATCTTAAATATCACTGTTTTCTAAAGAAAAATAACTTCTTCATCTATCTTTTCATATAGACACAAGGCATAACGGGGAATCGATTCTTTTCATTTGATCAGTAAGCAGGAATATTTTCGTTCGAAAAATGTACAAATTTGACAATAGATCTGGTGCTAGCAAAAACCAATGGTCTTTCAATGTCAAATTTCTTATTTGCGAATTTCGTTTTATATAATAAATATAACATACAATTTGAAATACCATGAAGAAACTGTTATTCTCTGTCGATTAGATTAAAATGTTTTTAGATGACCTAGATATGTCGGTGGTAGATTCTGGGTCACGTGAGATAAGAAATGCTTCTCAAGTTTATGGTACATTCATTAACTAACTTCTAAAATTGTTCCAAAGCAGAACTGTTTATTTATTGAATGGAGAATTTACGGCTGAATAAGTTTTCAAGATTTGCACAAAATTGGCAAAAGAACGCTATTGTAACAAGATACACATAGGCGCACATACACGTATATTTTTATTATTTTTTACAAAGATGTTCCACCTATACAATGCGCAAGAACCACTCAATGTAGAGTGTTACAGAGTAAGCGGCACATTTTATAGCAGGGAAAATAACTATACACTCTAAACATGAAAAGGTTAAGATTGTAGTGTAAGCAAAATTATCCTCTTGGGAGTTGTTTCCTTAAAACTATGGGTTGTGGGAAGAAACTGCTCGAGTGGAATTTAGGTCTCATTAATGGAGTATATATATATATATATTTGAAGTTAGGGTATGACGTATAGCATGAGATATTTATGTAAGTAGATAGCTCAATATAGGTAAGAAATTAAAGACAATTATTATTACCAGACAAACTATACACCTAAAGAAAAAACGACAAGCCATAATATTTACATCAGCATTTCTGCAAGAGAATTTAAAAAGAGAATCAATACACATAGTCACTAATTCTCCAATCCAAAATTAAAACACCAAACAGCCCTTTCGAAAAAAAAATTGGGAAGTGAAGGAATAGGGTTTGAATACTCAAAAAAATTGGAAACATTTAGGTTACGCAAACACTCCCAATGGTTTAAAGGAATAGATGCAAGCTATGTTTAGAAGAAAAAATCAGGAATAACGCGGAATAAGATTCATTAGGCCCTTCACCAGTCGCTAATACAAGCCTCTCCTCATTAACAAGACGTCTGCCACAGGGGGACTGACATTAAAAATAAATCTAAAACAATGCTTGAGATATAGATTTAGGGGCTAATCATAGCTGAGTATAGACTAGCTTGAAATAGATTATTCCTATGTTGAAGAAAACTTTTTTTTTTTTTTGTTTTTGTTTTTATTTTTATATATATATATATATATATATATATATATATATATATATATATATATATATATTAAAAAGGATGAGGGTAAAAAACAGATGTGTCTCTTCAGAATAGCAAACATATATAAAAACAATATATATATATATATATATATATATATATATATATGTATGTATGTGTGTTTGTGTTTTTGTGTAGTGCAAAACAGTCTGTCAACTCTAAATATTAACTTCAATGTTCACTTTATATATATATATATATATATATATATATATAGAGAGAGAGAGAGAGAGAGATAGATGTATATGTATGTGTGTGTGTGTGTGTAGATAGATAGATAGATAGAGAGATAGACAGATAGACAGACAGACAAACAGACAGATAGATAGATAGATAGATAGATAGATAGATAGATAGATAGATATGAAGCGTCCGCTGTCTATAGACAAATCGATAAATAGCGCTATATCGAGCGCCATAGACATTAATGGAGTGACAGAAAGAGCGAAACGTTGCGCAGATTCTTTTCATTCGTCATAATCTGTATTTGGCAGGCAATATATCCAGAACAATCGTTTTATGAAGTCGCATTGAAAAGGATATTTCTTATTGGTTTGAGACTCTCGACTTTCTGCCAACAGTGAAATGACTATTCTTTGGTGTTCTGCACCAGAAAGACGGTGAAATGTATCTCCAACAGTTGTGCAATGTCATATTCAAAGGACAGTTGAGCTGAGAGGTACAAGATCCGGAGATGGAAAATAATTAATGGTAAAAGTACCGGTAGATACACGCAGTTAGAGAATGCAAAAGACAGATTGCAAAATAGAATGATAAAACGGAAATAAAGATAAATGAATGCAAAGAAATAATCGTACTGTAAGGCGTGAGGGAAAATTTGATGGCTGAATGAATCAATAGTCACGGTAATGTCTAAAGTTGTAAGGATAAGCGAAAAAGAAATAATATGGATGGAAAGAAAGCAACAACAGACACAAGAAGAAGGCATAAATAAATTTTGTAATATAGAAAAGAGGCAAGGGAATAATTCGTTGTGCCATGAAGAAGAAGGCAGTTAGTGTAATTGGTAAAAAAGACGGGATGAACTAAGAGATATCTAGGGATTAAAGATATGGTCAGAGAAAAAGGAGAAAAAATGTGGGAGAAAAAATAGGATATAAGTTGATTAGAAAATAAATGAAAGAACGGGAGAAAGTAATGAAATTCTAGGCTAAAACAAGAAGATAAAATAAAGGAATATATATAAGAAAATAAAATCAGAAAAAATATATTGAACCTGATATACGGGAATTGAAAATTTGGATCTTCGCATGAAAACAAAGTTTGGAATAAAAGTCAATGAATTTCGATGAAAGTCTAGAACTTGTCTGGAAATAAATAAATTTGCATTAGAAATAAATACAAATAATACGAAAGGTTTTAGAAAATTGAAAGAAGTCGAAAAATGTACTGCATCAATCGATCAGAAAGAAATAAATAAAAAGAGATAGAGAAAAAATTACTAAAATCTAAATGTCAATTATTATAGAAACAAGAAAGAAAAGCATAAAATTGAAGAAAAAACTGCAAACTTTAAAGAATTAAAGAAAAAATGAAAGTTATAAAATAAATGAAAAAAGAAAATAATAAAATGAATATTCTCTAAGAATGAAAGTTAATATAGAAACGGGAAGGAAATTGAAAATAAACACTGAAAACTATTAAAAAAAAAAGTACCACAATATAAATGAATGTGTGATCCAGAGAAAGCTTAGAAAGAAAGAAAGAAAGAAAGAAAGAAAGAAAGAAAGAAAGAAAGGATGGAGGGAAGGAAGGAAATAAAGAATGAAGTACGGAAGGAGGGGAGGAAGTGTGGAAGAAAAGAAAATAGGTAAAACGCAATTAAGGACGGAATGAATGACGGAATGAAAGAAAGAAAGAATTGAACAAAATTTAAATGGAAATTGTACAAAATGACGGCGTTGTAAAACAAAGAAATGACATAAAAAGAAGCTAACTAAGCAAAACTTAATAACGCGTAAGAAATGCAATGGAAAAGAAATTGCTGAAACAAAAAAAATGTTACAGAAAGATAGGCATTTAAAAAATACGGAAAAATGACAAAAAAACCGGGAGAAATACAAAGAATGAAAAAATAAAACATTTAAATCAAAACAGAAAAAACAATGCTTGGAAATAAATAAAAACAAGGACTGAAAAACAACAAAAAATTATCGAATTTGCAGAAAACAGGATGACTGTTAAAATACGGAGAACCCAGAAAAGATATTTCAAAATAGTGTGGAAAGATAGATAAGCTATGATAGATTATACAAGTCAATACTTTCGCAACAAAAGTGATATAAACAAAGCAATTTTGTTATATAAACAGTCCATCGTCTGTCAGTCAGCTGATAATATTTAACCTCATTGAGTATATTAATAATAACATAGGCTTAGTTTTTTTAGTTAGTATTATGCACACATTGTAAGTAATGAAACTATAAATAAATCCCAAAATAGTATCAACGCGGTTCTACATACTATAACCATTTTAGGACGTGCGCGATTATTTTTCTCCAGAAATTTCTATTTATTCTTGATTTCTCTGCTTATTATGCAATGCCTTCCATATTCTGTCATCCATTTACGAAAGTTGGCTATATATTCTTCTATACCCACTGTTTTCAGTATATGAGTGTCAAGTCTACCAAGCCATTTTCTCTTAATAAATTATCTTATCTTGCCTATTTATCTCAGAATAGTGACTATTTATAACTGTTGTCTGTAATCATTAATTTTCTACTCTTTCAATTTTCTTTCTTTCCTTCCTTCACACCTTCCTTCCTTGCTTTCTTTCTTTCAATATGAAAGCAGTTTTTATTGTTTCCCAATGAAGTCCTTTAATGGAATATTATTCACCTTCCTGTATAGGGGTTTTCTAGTGATTTCACAAGGCCGAAAGTATGGGGAACCTAGTGAGGACCGAACTCACTACTCAGTCGTAACTGATCTAGAAAGTAAATCTTTCTAACCATTACACCACGTCGAGGTGGCCATTTTTTTTATTCCTATATACATTAATTTAAAGATAGTCCCTGATTTCCTATTGCATTAACAATTTGTGAAGATGGGAATCTTTTCATTAATCTTAGGTTTTGAAGACTTTTTGGCAAGGTGAGCAATATTCAGCTTTTCAGAATGCGAAGAAACATATCAAAGTATGAATCTTTTCTTTCATTTACACCTTTTATGTGAGAACAGTACATCTCAGGAAACTTTCAATAAACCTCTGCATTTGTTTGGCCTCGATTAACAAAGTGAAAAGAATTATAGTTTTATTATTTATAATACTTACAGCATTCATTCCTCGCGTTCATGTTGTCTTTAAAATCGTGTAGATTGAATATTTCTTTGAAGGACCTAGCCGCCGAATAGGTTCATCCCAAACAGCTATGCATTCCTAGATAATATGCCTGCTCAGAAAACAGTTTTTGGGTATTCGTTATTCTTCATAATCAGAATCTTGTTTCTCGGGGAACATTTGAAACATCATCTTTTTTCGCTGGAAAATTTTATTTTCTGTCTTGTTACTCTTAATTTTTCGCAAAAATCTTGTAATATTCTTAAAGCCAGCTTTAATCTACTTTATTCTACTAATAAAAATTAATGTCCACTAAACTGTCTATACTGTGTTTCGCAGAAATTACATCTACTATCAAAAGATTCGATTATAAAATTCCACTATCATGTCTTCTGAACAGTGGACGTAATTTCCGCGTAATTCAGAGTAGTAACAAAATAAGTGATAATTTTATTTTATATTCTTACTATATTAAAAAAAACCTTGTGATATCGAATATTATAATAAAAAGATGGCTTTCCCCCAAAACAGCATCCTCTACAAATAGTGGTCAGTATTATTTTGTTTGTGCATTTTAAAATTAAAAATTATATACCAATAACTATAAAATACAACCAGGCTTCACCCACTTGCTATCGCTTCGCAAAGTAAGATATACTCACTATTTGAAATCTTTGGAACAAAAATTTTAATGAAAATTTCTTTCATAAACTGGCTTGTTATAGTTAAGGAAAGTTTTACTGAGATGCCAACTTGTTGAATGTCAAGTAAAATACAAATTTCAAACACTTTTCTGCACTATATTAAACGATATACACAGAAATATTTCTTATATGAAAATCAAAACAATCCTCGAATAAAAGAACAGTAATTAATGAAATAAACTTTTTTTTTAAAAATCATTATGCAAATTAATTAAACCTGAAGAGTGATATCGCCTAGAAGTAGATAATATATAATACAGATTGAGATTTCTGTGATTACATTGCTATAAATCTTTTCGGCTAGACGGTCGAACTCTCTGTCTCTGAGCAGAGAGGAACCCGGACGAGGTTCCGCCGAAGGGCAGAGTCTCGTTGGGGGTAGTTGAGCAAACCGATCTCGTTCTACGGGCAATTTTTTTTTTTTTTTTTGGCAGAGACTACGGGCAAAATAAGAACCGAGGTTAAACGCGGCCTTGTGCCACATGCAACCTTCGTAGGGGGGGGACTAAATATAGATTACATTACTATAGATTAAAGCTGGGGCTTTTTAAGCTCAGAATTCCTGAGAGAATTGCGATCCAATTTCGCATTTATTCATATAGATTACATAATATAATATTTATTTAACTTGCTATTATATTTCTCTGACTCTTCAAATGTTTAATGTTCTAATTTCTATTTTCGCATCTTTACACTATATTAATTTTATCTTATAAATTGTCCCCTGTTCTCTCACCCATAAAATAAAAATAATTGTTTGTATAGAAAATAAGGATCTACGTAGAATCAAATCGTCTATTATGTTCAAATTAAGTGGCAGCAGAAGAAATATCGTTGATGTTTTAAAAGGTAAGCTGAAACATTAATTCAATACTCAAATGCAGCAATCAATTTTGAGTTCTTCGCTAGTTTATTGTTACCTATCGCATCTACTCCGCCCAAGCTTTTGTGATTTAGAATTGCTTTTAACATGATGAACGACAGTCAGGTTGGATATAAAAATAAATGTACCGTTGTAAATATTACTAAAATTTCACATAATGACCAGAAACTCAGACTACATATTTATCATGGAAATATAAGTTTATCCTGAATATTTAAATGTCATCACAATATTAATACTAGTTTTATTGTCGGAACATTGAATTGCCTTATAGCATCGGTTGTTGTATATGTAATGGGGAAACAAAAACAATCAAAGGTCTAAAGAGGTCGTAAGAGGAATGAGGTAAGAATGGCGAGTGATTGTAAGAAAACAGGAAGGAAAATTGGATGGTGACAGGATGGATGTAAAAGAATGAATGAAAAAAGAAATCAAATAAACCAAAATAGAGGAAAATGAAAAGAAGAATGAACAATCTTGTGAAATCTAGAAATAATGGAACAGCAAAATGAAAGATCATGTGACCATTGCTGCATGTTATGCTTATCTCTTAGCAGTCAACCTACACGCAATATACACTGCAGACGAGCGCGGGTGGGCGAACGATTGCGTGTTTACTGTCTGGCATTCAAGATAAAATGGATTAACTCGTACAAGAACATATCAATGTCTAATTGCACAGAATAAAAGAATGACTTCACCCACATACAATATGTATATATATATCTATATCTATATATATATATATCTATCTATATATATATATATATATATATATATATTGTGTGTGTGTGTGTGTGTAATATGTATAAGAGGAAATATATTTTCAGTTTTTATTCAATATCTAAACCGTCAGGCCTACTCCTTCAAAAAGTTAAACTGTCAGCTGTACTCGATCAAAAATGTCTAAACTCTTAGCTCTTTTCATTTAGATATATCTAAACTGTCAGATTTACTCTTTTAGAAATATCTAAACTTTCAGTTCTACTCGTTCATATATGTCTAAACTCTAACCTCTACTCGTTCAGAAATATCTACACTGTCAGATCTACTCTTTGAGAATTGTCTGCACTGTCAGATCTAGACGTTCAGAAATATCTACAGTTTCATACCTTGTCGTTCAGAAATATCTACACTGTCACATCTAGTCGGTCAGAAATATCAGCACTGTCAGATCTAGTCTTTCAGAAATATCTACACTGTCAGATCTAGTAGTTCAGAAATATCTACCCTGTCAGATCTACTGTTTCAGAAATTACTACGCGATCAGATCTACTCTTTCAGAAATGTCTGCACTGTCAGAACTAGTCGTTCAGAAATATCTACAGTTTCATATCTAATCGTTCAGAAATATCTACACACTGTCAGATTTAGTCGTTCAGAAATATCTACACTGTCACATCTAGCCGTTTGAGAAATATCGACACTGTCAGATCTGTTCGTTCAGAAATATCTGCACTGTCAGATCTAGCCTTTCAGAAATATCTACAGTTTCATATCTAGTCGTTCAGAAATATCTACACTGTCAGATTTACTTTCTGAATTATCTACGCTGTCAGATCTAGTCGTTCAGAAATATCTATAGTCTCATATCTAGTCGTTCAGAAATATCTACACTCTCAGATCTAGTCGTTGAGAAATATCTACAGTTTTATATCTAGTCGGTCAGAAATATCTACACTGTCAGATTTAGACGTTCAGAAATATCTACACTCTCACATATAGCCGTTCAGAAATATCTACACTGTCAAATCTGCTCTTTTTTTTTAATATCGTGCACTATCTATAGTCTCATCTAGTGGTTCAGAAATATCTACCCTGTCAGATCTACTGTTTCAGAAATTACTACACTGTCAGATCTGCTGTTTCAGAAATATCTACACACTCAGATCTAGTCTTTCAGAAATATCTACACTCTCAGATCTAGTCGTTGAGAAATATCTACAGTTTCATATCTAGTCTGGTTTTCAGAAATATCTACACTCTCAGATTTTTCAAACGTTCACAAATATCTACACTTGAAAATATCTATAGCCATATCTAGTTCAGAAATATCTACACTCTCACATATAGCCGTTCAGAAATATCTACACTGTCACATATAGCCGTTCAGA